ATTTATTTTCGAGACTAAGACAAAAATCATTTATATCTTCATTTCCATAGTTAAATTAACAAAATACTAAAGGGTATGGTTAAATTACTTCATCTATTCTCACAACATATTATTTATTATAATAGGATTTTGTGTTTTTTTTTTTTTTGCTTTCTTGTTTATTTTTTTCAATTTAACCCTTCAAAAATTCAACCTTTTTTTATTTAGTTTTTTTTTTCAATTTTATACTTTAATATTATGTTATTTTGAGAATTTATCTTAATCTTATGATTTAAATTACAAGTTTAACAAATTAACCGAGGTTGACACAAATTATTTTTTTTGTCACTTTTTCTAATTGATTTTTTTTTAATATCATCCTTTAACATTAGATTAGTTGAAAATTAAGCTTTATAACTTTTTTATTTGCTTTCTATGAGATTCTCCCAATCTCAAGACCAAGTCAAGAATTTAGTAGGTTGACTCGAGTAATATGTTTATTTTTTTATTCTTTTTAAATGAATATATTTTTAATTAGACTTTATAATTTTTTTATTTATTTTTTATAAAATTATTTTAATCTCATGACCCAATCATGAATTTAACAGATTGACTTTATTTATTTTTATGTAATTTTTTAATAGAATACATTTTTTTTTCAATGTCATTCTCCAAAAACTCAATCTTCTTTTTTATTTAGTTTTTTTTTAATTTTATCTTTCAACATTAGATTATTTTCAAATTGAGTTTCATATTTTTTTTTAATTTTTTTATGGGGTTATCTCAGTCTCATAAATTTATTTTTCTTCTCTTGATTTCAATTTTTAACATTGAATATGTTGAAAATAGAGCTTTGTAATTTTTTTATGAAGTATCTCAATCTTATGATCTAGATCGTAAATTGAATAAGTTATCCTACGTTGACTTGAGTAATTTATTTTGTTATTTATTTATTTCATCTTTCAACACCAAGTTGAATGAAAATTAAGCTTCATATTTTATTTTATTTTATTTTTACTAAGTTATTTCGATTTTATGATCTAAGTTGACTTCGATAGTTTTTTTTTGTTCCTTTTTAATATATATATATATCAACTTTTTATATCAACATGGGGTTGATTAGAAATTAAAATTCATAATTTATTTATTTTAATTTTTTTATAGAATTATTATGATCTCATAACTTTGATTATAAATTTGACATATTAATTTAGACGATCTAATATATTAGAGTTTCAATAATTTTTTTTAAAATATCATCTAATATATCACTGTATTAATATTTTAAAAATAACTATTCAATATGTATTATATTCATAGTCCATGATTAATTTTTTATTATTAAAAAACAGTTACCAACACTTTGACAATTTCTTTATATTAAAAAGAAATCTATCCAAATCCAAGAGATGCTTTCAGACGCGGGCCAAATATTTCTAATTAAGGGCCATGCCTGGGTAGCTTTTATCTAGGCCTATTTTTGCCAGGCCAATCTTAAGCGAGACCAGCGGCACAAGGCCCCAGCAAAATACGTCCAAGACTCTCTCCATACGTTAGGTCCGAACGTCACTTCAAAGTTCTAGCTTCAAACTGCCGAATACGAAACCACGAGACAATTCGTTGCAAGGTAGAAAACCAGAGTGCAATTTTATTACCAGAATTTCTTCACTCTGATATAAAATATGAACGAAATCGTTACGTTTGATGTTTTCTTAAGCACTAGAGCTGACTAATGTCTAAAAAGGAGGCAGATGTCTCTATCACCACTACCAGATTGCCTTTTATTACCAGAATTTCTTCAATTCGGAATTGATTGCTTCTGCTGAGACTGAAGCACATTTCCCAAAACTGCAAGATCTAAATCTGAGTTTAATAGCGTGCCTTAACAGTTACTCCCTGCCCTGGAGTCCCATCACTTTAGCATTCTCAAACCCTTGAGCAATCCCATTGTTTCATGAACATGCGGTGAGATACATGGTTTGCCTGCTAGATTAGTGGCTTCCAGTGCTGCAAGTGGCTGGTTTTCATTCTCACCTGCAGCCTATCAAATTAGGCACTTAAGGGATCTGTTTCGGGGCAGGGAAGAAGATGAAGGTGAAGGAAAAATGAAGGATTACTACAAGTCAAAAGGTGAAAAATATGAAACCTCATGATCCTCATCACTGATTCTAAATATTGATGCATCAGCTTTGGCACAATACTTCAGGGGAAGATGGCTACAAGGCCAAATATATTTTACAGACCACAATAAATGGTGGCATACCTATTTACAATTTTGCAGGATGCCTTAGTCAGGCTAAGAAACTCAAGTCCTGCTAATAAACTCAAACTAAAACATAATGTTGAAACAAAATCACGGTAAAAATTACAGCACATGTTTTCAGCACCGTGCTTCCAAGTAGAAATAGAGAACTCGTCTCATAGACATGCCAGAAAAAAAGATTTTGGAACATTATCTTGTTAAACAATAAAAAAAAATATAAAAATAAAAAATAAAAAGGCTAGATTTCATTGATGATGTGATTACAACACTTTAAAGGAATATTTTTAATCTAAATACAAAGAGATTATATATAAGTTAAACTAAATTCTTTTTTTACCATTTTACCCTTAATAAATAACATAAATAACCCTATAGTTTTTAAACTTATGATGCGATAATTACTAGTATCAAGAGTTTGCCAACTAGAAAACAAAAACGAGAAATAAAATGTAACTTGGTAAAGAAATTTGCAATCTACAAAGAAAAAGAAATAAGAGGTAAAGTAATGGTGTCATGCTTGAAATGATGACGAGTAAAATAACATTCGATCTCAATGTGTTTAGTTCATTCATGAAAAATCGAGTTGTGAGTAATTTAAATAGAACCCTGATTGTTACAATACATAAGAGTAGGATGAGAAAAGATAAATAGAACCCTGATTGTTTCAATACATAAGAGTAGGATGAGAAAAGAAAAACTTTTATATCTGGAAGTACCAACATAGCCAAACAATCTCTTGATAGTAGATACTATAGCACAATATTATGCTTTGGTCGAAAATTGAGAAACAATAGATTATTTCTTGCTATTTTAAGAAATAAAAAATCACTTTAAAAGATATATAAACTAATAATAAACTTGTGATAAGTGAGATCATTGTCATAATCAATATTAGAGCATGCATATATCTCTAAAGAAGAGGTGAATGAAAGTAAAAAACTTTAAAAGATTGTATCTTAAATATATTACAAAATATAAAGAATAGTTGCTTAATGAATAATAGTAGAAGAAACAATAAACTAACAACATGAATAACATATGCAATATCTAGATGAGTAATAGTGAAATATATGAAGTTCCCAACATTAGTACGATATAAAGTAGGATTTGATAAAGGTAAACCATCAGAAGAAGAATACTTTACATTAATCTCAATGAGAGTATCTATAATCTTGTGATCAGTAAGTTTAGTCCGCTCAAGAATATCTGACCAATAGGCTACCTCATTATTCAAGAAATATCATAGAGAACAAAAATTTTTCATTTCAAACTGTTTAAATAATCACTAAAATTACATAATTGACCAATTGAAGCAAGATTTAATATGTGTTTCATAATAAGATAAATATTAGGGAGAGATAAGTAAGTGTGATAATAAAAGCAACATTTATTAAGGGTATAAGAGTGCCACTAGTAGTCATGATAGAATTAGAAGGCAAAGGGGACATATAAGTAAAAGATAAAAAATCTAAAGACATATGATGTATATTACTAAAATTCAAGACCCATTTAGAATGTAACATACCTGAGGAACTATGAGGCAACTAACTTATGAAAAAAGAAATGGACATAACTAATAGTTGTAAGGAGAGAAACTTCTTAAATTGCTTAACCTGAGCAATAGGATTAGTGAAGGACCTGATGAAACTACTACTACAATATTGTTGTGTAGTGGTTTGTAGCCTTGAGGTGGTATATAAATATTAGATTATGACTAGTTGTCAGGCTTCTAAACTTGATTTCACTGTCATAACTTGAGATATTGAATTTTCCAATGATCTTTCTGCTTAAAAAATTGCATTCGTCAAAGGCAATGTTTGTGTAAGGTTTATTCTGATTATTAGATAATGACTTATAAGGTATTGTTAGCATAAAAAATTAGAAGTAGAAATAATTTCATTTTCAGAATAAGATTAAAAACATATTTCTTTAATTAATAACTCACTGATAACCGAGTCAATAGAAGATAGTAAAGAACAATGCGTAATTAAACCTTTAAGTCCTTCAGAATCACTACGAAGTGCTGTTAAAAACTGTAATAAAGAACAATGCATAATTAAACCTTTAAGTCCTTCAGAATTACTACGAAATGCTGTTAAAAACTGTAACAATCATTGCCGCTCTCTACAGGTAATATAAGCACTATATAACAATCATTGCTGCTCTCTACAGGTAATATAAGCACTATATACCTTTAATGCTGTTAATTATATAAGAGCCAATTGATTCTAAATATCTGTTAGAACATATAAAACTCCTAAATACTCATATTTTTCTGGTAAAGAGCTCGTATGTCATTCTCTAATTGATATTGTTTTGTAAAATTTAATTATATGAATAACCTTTACCGATGATCTCAAATTTTCTTTGTTGTCTCATACTTTGCTAACTGCATACTTATAAAATACTCAATGAATCATTAATTTAAGTAATAATCTTTACATTGTTTACTTCTTAAGCATCTATTAAAGCAACATAACCCTCATCAATATTCTTAGGTATCACAAAAGTTCCATTAACATATCTCCACATCTTTTTACTCTTAAAAAAATTTCTTATCTTATAACTCCAATATGAATAATTTTTTCCATCCAACCTTATACTCACAAACTGAAACGAATTATCTCTTTCAATAGCCATAATTACTAAACAAAGAACCGGAGTGCAAAAGAAAAGAAAACGAAATACCAGATTTCAGGAACTACACATATTTTATCGAAGTTATACAATAACTCAAAAATAAAAGAAGAGAAATACAAAACTAAAAGATAAGGAGGCCGGAGTTTCATTGATACTCCATAATGTGATCACAATAATCTAAATGAATAGTTTTAACCTAAATATAAAGAGATTATATATAGACTAAATTAAAAAGAAAATAAAAATACTATTCTACTCTTAATAAATAAAACAAAATAACCCTATATTTCTTAACATATCTATCTATTTGCGAAGACAACTTCTGGGTGGTAATGAAGCATCTCATCCCATATCATCTCCCTAATCATATGTTCCCCGAGATTCTCATCTATGTCAAGATTGATAGGGACCCGTGCTGGTGGGTCGTGTCTTGGATCGTGCAGCCCTGACATGTAAGGGTGTAGAAGTGCTTGTGTCACACTAATTCTCTTAGTAGGGTCAAACACCAGCATCCTTAGCAACAAGTCTATGGCCAAAGGATCAGCATGGGGGTATAGATGTGAAAAATGGATTCCCCTTGCATAAGGAAGTCTTTTGATGTACCTTCTGGCTTTTGGGTTATCAATGAACTCAAGATCAGTATCATTCTGGCTCCCAAGGACACTGATAATTAGCTTCAGCTGGTTAAGACACTCCGTTCCAGGGAAGATGGGTCTGCGGCCAAGAATCTCAGCAAAGATACATCCGACAGACCAGACATCAATGGAGGTTCCATAGTTGTCACAGCAGAGTAGCAGCTCAGGTGCACGGTACCAGCGGGTGACAACATACTCAGTCATAAACTGTTCATTACCTCTGCTAGTTCGTGCCAGCCCAAAATCACATATCTTCAGATCGCAGTTGGCATTGACAAGGAGATTTCCAGGCTTCAAGTCCCGATGAAGAATGTTTGCAGAGTGGAGATAATTCAGCCCGCGCAGCAACTAAAATATTGTATAAAGATTAGATGCTAGCAGAACAATATTGAGAAGAAAACAAATCGATTGAAAAGCAACTAGTGCTATGCATGGATTCACATTTAATCATTATTCAAGATTAGTATCACTGGTTATGCTATGTTAAAGCACAGCTATCAAGCTTATTTAAATTTCACTTTGTAAACCATCTAATGCTGTTATCATTACAATATAAACCAGCATCTCCTGGAAAAACATGACTTTAAAACATATAATTAGAGAGGCAAAAAAACGCAGCTGTAGTTCCTAGTGAAAACACATTCTGCAGATGGATTATGCACATTAGCATGAAATTGACATCACAAGACAAGCAGAGAGAATAACAGTCTTTTATACTACTACCACTCGAGAGAGAAAATTCACCTGAAATATAAAATACTTGCAATGATCATTGGAAAGTGGTTGTGAGGACTTGATAATCTGATGCAAATCTGTATCCATGAGCTCATAAACCAAATACACATCCTTGAAACTTGTCCTCTGAATAGGCATCAAAACATCCTTCAGAGCAATTACATTCTCATGCCGGATATGTCTAAGAAGCTTCAACTCTCTGAGAGTCCTCAAAGCATCAATCTTGTTCTCAAACACATTATTGATTTTCTTGATGGCAACTTTCTCGTTTGTTTCCCTATTAATCGAAGAGCAAACAACACCATAGGCCCCTCTACCTATAGGCTTAATCGGAACGTACTTCGAATCAACCTCAAATACAGTTTCCCACATTGAGTAATATTGCTTCCCTCTTGGCCTAATTCCATTTGGAGGCTCCACTAAAGTTGCCATTTCCCTGCAAATTGTGAGCGAGAAGAATTAAAGCTTTACAAAATCTCGTCAACATTCACATAAAAGGAAACCCAATTCACTTACTCACCAATTAAAGCAAGACATCTAATAAGTAAACAACTTTGAGAAAACTCACACACACACGATGAATGATGATGATTCAACAAGCTATGGTAAATATATATACGAAGAATAAAGAAAAGGTGTGGAATTGATACTTACTTGCCGCAATCTTTGATCTTTTGAGATCACCTTCTTGCTTACAATGTTATTCTCTGTGTCTGTAGCTTTTCTTGCTTATAATTTAATCACAGAAAAACAGAACTCCCACTTTCAACAGATTCCTCTAAACCAAAGAAAGCAAATTCAAAAAGCAACGAAGTCCTCAACTTTCACCTCCAATTCTTGCTCAATCCCTCAAATAAACAAACCCCACCAAATTCTCCTCCAACTCAAGCCAAGAATCACATGATCACAATCTAAGCAAAGCCCAAAAATCCTTTCTTTTTCCCTCTACACGCAGCCAAATTGCAAGACTCTCAAAACCCAGAAACCATTTTGCCTTCAAATAAGAAGCCTATAAATAAAAGCAGAATCTTTTCCACAATTCAGTGGAATTGGAGCTGGAGATCTTATCTATACAGTGAAAGTGATAAAAAAAGATCTGGTCTAACAGGGTTTTTGTTGGATACTCTTATTAGAACAAGGGGAGGGAGAGGTGAGGGGGCAGTGGTTAAAGACGTGAAGGCAACACAGCAAATTGTGACACAAAAGAACAGCTATTGCGTAATTGCTTTGGGTTTTAGGAAACTTGACCTCTCTTCATGCACAAACAAATATGCACATATATATATTTGCTTGTCAGTTTGACGGCTTTCGTTTAGCTTGGCTTTGGCTCCCTCAAGTCTTTCCTACTACATCTCGGAAAGATCAAGGTTGGTGCTTTTGCCTAACGGGCAACTGCTAAATTTATTTCCATTTGACAAAGTATCCCAATTATCAATATTTTTTAGGTATCATCTAAACAATTGTCCTTCAGTGTGATTGGAAACAAGGTATCTGACAAAGTATCCCATTTAACAAAATATTCATACCATCAAAGTAATTGGAAACAAGGTTTCTGATAGAGACCTAGTTCAAGTGGTATCTGTCTTAAGTATGATGTTCGTTCTTTATTAAATTTAGAAATACATTTGTAGCAATGATTTTTTATATAAAAAATTCAAAACTTTCCGCTAAGATCTAAGAGTGTTCATCAACAATCTAAAATATTCATCTTAAATTTGAAAATCTCATCTCGTTATTATCTAGAATTGTTCAACATTGAAATCTCAAACTCGTCAAAGTTAAATATGTAGCACGTTTTGAAAATGATACTTGAAATATTTAAGAAGCACCCCAAACGGATGAAGGCACTTGGTGGAAAATAACAAAGTATTAGGTCAAACCCAAGCTTAAATCCAACATTCAGCTTATGGCTAAAAGGGCTTCTATCTGCTTGGAAGGTCTTGTTCAACCGGGAGGATATGCTTTTAACGCGTTTGATAATTGTCGCCTTTGCTTTTAATCCATTAAAACTAATAATTCAGTCAATCATGTGTGTGCATGACGAGCAAACGTCGCTAGACACCAAGAGGAAAGCAGCCATAGGATTGTTGGCGCCGGCTGGATTTCCTTAATTTGCCGATAGCATATCCTCCTCCTTCCGATCTAACGCCTTGGATTATTGGAGCTGGCTGGGTTTCCTTAATTTGCCTCCTCCTTCCGATCTAACGCCTTGGATTCATTGGGTTCAAAGTCACTGTTACAAACTTTTTGTGGCGTCTCCTATGGGCCATCTTCCCAACATGGGTCCGGTTCCGGCCAATTTTTTTAACCGGATAATTAATTACATGGTTGATTTGCAGTTATGGAAGTATCATGTTTTCAAATCGAATTATAAATTTGTAGAACCATTAAATTGCATTTTGTCATTGATATTAAACCCTGTTCTACCACACACGCTAATCCAGAACAGAGTTGACCGCTCAATAACTCAAGTTTCGATGTTAAAATAAAATAAAATTAATCACATGATTAAAAGGGATCCATATATAATCACGAAAGTTAAATTAAAATTCAATTAGATTTTATAAAACAATTATTTTTTATTAATTTTTAGCCCTAACATCAGGTCAACTCTCGATCGAATTAATAACTATATCTTACTGAATTTTTTTTTACTTTTATTGTTTGAATATACTTGCTAATAATAGCTATCTACAATTTTGTTATGAGAATGGATTTTAATATGATCAAGGTAGATTATTATTTATTTATTATTAATATTTGATGCAATAAAAGGGATAGTAAACGATTCAATAGCCCCCCCCCCCAATTAAAACCCCCCCCCCCCCCCCCCTCATGTGATTTCGTGGGAAAATAGAGTCCTTTCAAGGGGTTGGTAGTGCTATATATAGCCTCAAGTGCTGTCAAGTATAGGCTGCTCTCCAAGGAAGGAAAAATGAGAAACATCACAACTTCCTCAATTATAAGCCAAATTTTAGTTCCGTAAGTGGCGGACGTCGGTGGGGTGGGTATCTAAAGTCTATACATTGAAAATTTATTTTTTAGAGTGTTTTTTTAATATATTAAACTAATATATATATTTTTTATATTTTTAAAATTATTTTTCATATCAATATATTAAAATAATAACTTTAAATAGAAAAAAAGTTAAAATGTTTAGAAACATATTATAATTATTGGATTCTTGATTAAAGTTCCAATTGAGGAAACTAATGTAGCTTTTAACATCAATTGAAGTAATTGAAAACAAAAGATAATGGAATGTTAAAAATTTTAAAAACCAAGAACTCTAGAACCCCAAGGAGATGAAAAAAACATAAAATTTTTAAACTTAAAAAGAAAAAATAAAAATAATTAAAAAATATTTATTTTTAAAAAAACTACTATAATAATTTTTAAGGTTAGAAAAATCAAGTTCAAACCTTATCAAAAAACCATTCTCCATCACAAACATATGGTACATAACTTTTTTATGGTAAAACTTTTACAATTAAAATTATTTTTTATTATAGATATATTTTTAGAGCATAATCTTAGTGAGAAAAAAAAATGATATTTGTATGGGTGAGCAAATTCATTATAAGTTTTTAACACTTATATAAAATATTTTGTTGTGAGTCTCAATACCATGATTTTCAATAATAATTTTATATAAATCACTTTACTGTGAGTCTTAATACCAGGATTTTAATAATAGCACATGAAAATTAATGTTAAGATATTATTAGGCTTTAATATTAAATGATATGGTGGAAATTAAATAGTAAACAAAAACATTTAAAATATATAATTTTTTATTCATCAAAGTCTCACTTGCTAAAAACTATCACGTCACTTTATATATATGAAAAAATAGAAAATTTAAATAGAAAAATAAAAAATATTCCATCAAAATAGAAAAGAATTATAATACTAAATAGAAAAATAAAAATAAAAACCCTAAATTGCAAAACAAAAAATATTATAAAAAGCTTCAGTATCATGGGCTAATATCAGTTGTTGTGTAAGCTGATTCTAGAATATTCTTTGCCATATGAAAACAAAAAAAAATAAAATGTACATAGACAAATAATTTTTGTCTCACTTGCTAAAAGACTATCACGTGATTTTATATATGAAAAACTAGAAAATCTAAATAGAAAAATAAAAAAAATTCCATCAAAATAGAAAAACTAGAAAAGAATTATAATACTAAATAGAAAAATAAAAATAAAAACCCTAAATTGCAAAAAAAATAAAAAATTATAAAAAGCTTCAGTATCATGGGCTAATATCAGTTGTTGTGTAAGCTGATTCTAGAATATTCTTTGCCATATGAAAACAAAAAAATAAAATGTACATAGACAAATAATTTTATAAATCAGGTACCGAATTTTTCAGACATTTATTAATTGTACCCTTTAATCAATGTAGGTTAATTTGTTCTCTATATAATGTGCATATTTAATGAAAAACAAGAATTTGATAGAGAATACAAATAAAAATTCTCTTGAAATATGGGGACCTAATTGATGAAATAACTCGTTTCGGTACTCAATTTACAATCTAAGAATATTAAGGGAATGGGCCATGGAATGTGGGCTGTACAATTGTCGTCTGAGCCCAGACAGAAGCAAGTCGAGAAAAAAATAAAAGTGTGGCTGCTGGGATTCGAGCCCAGGT